AGGAGAACAGATTCTTATTTAACCTGTGCGAATAACTATATTGCCATGGAAATAAGAATATTCAATAAAAGTTTCCGAATTCTGGAGGAAACAGGAAGAAAAAGTTAAATGTTTTGTTAGTCTACATTTTTTTAGATAATAACGTAAAAGAGAAAGTAGCCCTCATATCCAGAAAATAGAAAGTTAAAGTATTAGCAGCATTCCAAACAAAACCCAAATGATTCCTCCTCATTTTGCTCAGGCTTATTCTTGCTCTGTTCCATCTTGGGTTAGTAACCTCATGAACCTGTTAGCTTCTTTTTTTTTTTTTTTTTAATAAAAAAGATAGGGTTTTACCATGTTGGTCAGCCTGGTCTCGAACTCCTGACCACAGGTGATCCGCCCACCTTGGCCTCCAAAGTGCTTGGATTACAAGTGTGAGCCACCATGCCCGGCCACCTGTTAGCTTCTTAATGAGAATGCCAGAAATCCTAGATGGTCCAATGGCATGGGCCCCAACCTATTTAAGCAATACCCTCATAAGCCTGTGCCCATGAGTACTCAGCATGGTCTTTTTCTGTGGGGCTCTGAGACTGTTGTTTCTAAGGTCAAAACACTCTGGTCTGCAGCTGATTTGCAAGTGCTTTCAGGGAAGAATCAAAGTAAAACAAACAAACAAAACCATCTCCAGATGCCAAGAGATCTAAAATGACTGTAGGTAATTTATTAATGATAATTTTTCAAAAGTGAAAGATCTGATGAGTTCATTACAAAACTAATGCAATTGACAAGGAAATTTGGTTGTTTCTGTGGCATTTAAAACAAAGCAGTGAATTTAAAATCAAAGGGACAGTAGAAAAGTTAAAAAAAAAAAACATAGGCAGTAACAGAATTGTAAAGAACCTTAGTTCTTTCAAGAGTGAGAAGACTTTGTTCGTTTAAGTAATCAAAAACATGAAAAACTCAATGTAAAGCACAGAAAATAATTCTGATAAAAGGGAATCCTTGCCTTTCAGGTAGATTTCTCAGAAGGTAAAGAAAAGTCTTAATAACCTCTTAAGAAGTACATAAATTTTTTAAAAAAAGACCAGGCATGGTGACTCACACCTGTTATCTAAGCACTTTGGAGGCCAAGGCAGATCAGCTGAGGTCGGGAGTTCAAGACCAGCCTGGCCAACATGGTGAAACCCTGTCTTCACTTAAAAAAAAAGTATATAAATAATTCAATAAAATTTTGTCATTTAACAGAGAGAAAAGCAGTTTTAATTTTTGTTAGCATGATATTTGATATCAAGGCTCTTTTTAAGAAAAATCTTATAAATAAAGCCACTAAACCTTAGCCGGTTTCAACTATGGCAAATAAAATTCCCTTCCTGTGCACCTTCTACAGGTTTCTACACATTTAGGTTTTGTGTTGCCTATTCTTCTTCATTGTTCTGGAAGAGTCAGTCATTCTACTTTAAGACAAAACTATGCTCCTTTCCCTTAACAAAAACACATCCTGAGTATGTTGCATAAAAGTTATTCTTCTCTGCAATTACTTTTCCTAGGGAATCTCATTCACAATATCAATCATGACTTTTTAACTTCTATTTATTTAACAGAGATAGCTATGAAGAGATAGCTGTGAGCTGTCAGACTCTACAATTTTGTAGCAAAGCTTATGAATATACACTTTACAATGTTTTATAGCTTAGATGTCCTTATAATACAACTTCTCAATGTGGCAAAATGCATAGAGCCTTAAAATTATGCCTAGTGATTAATATTTCAATATTTTATATTATTAGAAGTGATGTAGGTATTTAATAACCGTCCGTTAATCAACTTAAGCTAGCATAAGTTTCAAGTTACCAAAAGATCTTGGAGACTGTCTTCAAGCTGACATATCACAAAACATAATTATTGTTAAAATAAAGTTTGTCAGAATAATAATTTAAACACGCATCTCCAGTTTTCATCATCTTAAACATCTAGGAAACATAATGCTAGTTTATTCAATCAGTAAAGTTGTCTAAGTTCCAGAAGAATAAGCCCAAATAGAATACAAATGTATGCCTGCATTTTGCTGAACTTGGAGAACTCAGAAGACAGCTCTTTCTATCAAAAGACAAATATTAAAGTAGTCCTTTTTTTAAAAAAAAGAGTTACCTACATTTTATGAATTTGAATTCTTAAGACATTTGCATTTGTTTTTTATAAAAATGCTTTTTAAAGTATTCGAAGCTCAATTTTACCACCAACAGAGTGGTTTAAAACAACAGAAATTTATTGTGTCGGTTCTGGAGACTAGAAGACCAAGATTAAGGTGTCGGCAGGACCATGGCCCCTCTGAAGGCTCTGGGGGAGGGTCTTTCTTTGCCTCTAACTTGCTTCTCTGATGGTTTCCAACAGTCCTTGGTATTCCTTGGCTTGTGGACACATCACTCCAGTATCTGCTTCCTTTGTTACATGATGTCTCCCTGTGTGTCTGACTATGTCTCGATTTCCTGCTTCTTACAAGGACTTGGGTCATTGGATTAGGGCCCACCCGAATCCAGCATAATCTCATCTTGATTAGATCAGCAAGGCCCTGTTTCCACATAGGGTCACATTCACGGGTACTAAGGATTTGAGTGAAAATGTCTCTAGCGGATGCAGTTCAATCCGGAACAGCTAATAGTGGGCCTAGTGTTCTGAACACTCATCAGTCAGCTGCAGAGTGGAGTGTCCATGCCCCAGGGACCAGTAAAGATGGACCACTGGAAGTGTGTTAAGAAAACATTAGAATGTCTGTTTATTTTTACATTTCTTCTTTTAGAAATTGTATTTGTACTCAAGCTCTCTCCTAATAACATTTAAAAAAAAAAAAAGAAATTGTATTTGTATTTGTATTTTATGATGTAAGTGACAGATTTACAATAGTATATGCATATGTTCTATAAATAAAAATACACATATTCAGTGGATACTCAAAATTTTTGAATTGACTAGAGAATGGAAAAAAAAGAAAGGCCCTATACCTATACAACTCCTCTCCCATCTATTAAACTGGGTATCACTAGCATATTAGTTTCTCTTTTTCACAGTTGCCTCAGTAGAATAACTCTCCACTGTGTGAGGTTTGTAGTGAGGTGTCCACCCCCACCCATCACAGCATTTAACTGAAAAAAGGTTTAGTTTGACAAAAGACCAGTCTGAGCCAGGGTGACAAGTAGCTGGAATCTTAAGAATGAAGCAATTGGCTGTGTGCAGTGACTCACGGTGGTAATTCCATCACCTTGGGAGGTGGAGGCAGAAGGATCACTTGAGTCCAGGATGGAAGACCAGACTGGGAGCATAGCAAGACCTTCGTCTCTACAAAAAATGAAAAAAAAAAAAATTTAGCTGGGTACAGTGGCACATGCCTGTGGTTCCAGCTACTCAAGAAGCCAAGGTGGGAAGATTGCTTAAAGTCAGGAGTTCAAAGCTGCAGTGAGCTATGATCATGATACTGTACTTTAGCCTGGGTGATAGAGCACCTGTCTCTATTAAAAAAAAAAAAAAAAAAAAAAAAAAAAGCAAATTAACAAGCATTGCTCCATACAGAGATAAGTAATGTATCTTTATATATTTCAATAACTTTTTTCTTTTTTTTTTTTTTTTTTTGAGACGGAGTTTCACTCTTGTTACCCAGGCTGGAGTGCAATGGCGCGATCTCGGCTCACCGCAACCTCTGCCTCCTGGGTTCAGGCAATTCTCCTGCCTCAGCCTCCTGAGTAGCTGGGATTACAGGCACGCACCACCATGCCCAGCTAATTTTTTTGTATTTTTAGTAGAGACGGGGTTCCACCATGTTGACCAGGATGGTCTTGATCTCTTGACCTCATGATCCACCCGCCTCAGCCTCCCAAAGTGCTGGGATTACAGGCTTGAGCCACCGAGCCCGGCCGTCAGTAACTTTTTTCTAATTGTCAGTTTTCTTTTTTATTTTTTTGAGACAGAGTCTTGCTCTGTTACCTAGGCTGGAGTGTCATGGCATGATCTTGGCTCACTGCAACCTCTGTCTGCTGGATTCAAGTGAACCTCCTACCTCAGGCTTCTGAGTAGCTGGGACTATAGGCATGCGCCACCACACCTGGCTAATTTTCTGTATTTGTTTGTAGACACTGGGTTTCACCATGCTGCCCAGGCTGGTCTCGAACTTTTGAGCTCAAGCCATTTGCCTGCTTTGGTCTCCCAAAGTGCCGGTATTACAGGCATGAACCACTACTCTTAGCCACATAATTGTCAGTTTCTTTTAATACTTCAGACAGAGCCCCTGTATAATATAATTAGGTATAAAGACATACTGTTAATAGTCTAAACAATTTGGTATCATTTGTGGGGGAGGAGGGGCGGCATGGAATTTGGAAGGTTTTGAAGTATAAGTTTTCAAAAGAGGAGAGCCACTGCAAACCAGAGCCAGGGGATAATTACACCTCTATTCTGACCACATCAATTCTACAGGTTTCTTTTTATGTATGATACAATCTCAAGATCCAGCCTCCAACCCCAACATATACCTATACGTTTCCAGGAATTGTTTTCGGATCTCTAAGGGAGGACAGCTGATATGCTCACAGGTAAAAACAACTTTAAAAAGTTGATAATGTGCATTTCAAAATCTATTTATTGACATATTTCTAAAATTGAGAATGTAAACAACATGTAAACAATATATATACATTTTATGTATAAATTTCAAAATACATTCAGATGTCCATGGAAAAGAATTGTTCAGAAGAGCCAAGGATAGTATAACCTTAAATGAGTCATGGTGTTTTTTGACATTCAGGATATTTTTGTTGGTTGTTTAACTCTTCAAACACTTGACATAAAGGTCTATTGATTGTGGAGGAACTAATCTCCTTCTCATGGGTTCTTTGAGTTCCTGTGTGGGCATAAGTGTATCTTTTTATAATTTATTCCACCTGTGCCTGTCAATGTCTTTCCACTTGCCTCCTCCTGCGACATTCTGGCTCATGTTTCTTCATAAAGCTCTAAGCCAGTTATTAATAACAGACCAGTGAGCCTCCTGATCCACCAAGACCATATGGTATTTTTCATAAAAGAGAAAGATCATTCCCTTGACTTTGGACTTCGCTTATTGAAACCCTGAACAGTAAGTGTGTGTGTTTTTTTTTAATATAGCATTTTAAGATGTTGATGTTGGAGGACAGTTTAGCATGACTCTTCTGTGCTTCTGATAGAGAAAGAATCTAGTAGGTTAAAATTCACTAAGACTCACAAAGCCTGTTTCCTATTCCCTGCACCACATCTCTGGTTTTTATAAGGCTGATTATAAAGAGAGATTAATGAATTAGATTTCTACTCCTTTCATTTTCTTTTGGTTAAATAAAGGCAGGAGGAGAAGCAAAGTGATACATAAATTATTTGACCAAGCCTTGTGGCTGCAGCTTGACCTCCTGTCTCCTTGTATTTCTTCTCCAAATAGAATTCCGGTGATTTCAAAGAGAATTTTCACATATGAAAAGTATATGTGGGGGATGAGGGGGAGGAGACAGGAGTTGGACAGGAGACCTGGGCACTTTTGGTCGTTTTCCCCCTTGTTCTAGGTTTGGATCAGAGAGGGCACCTGTCTTGTTCCATGGGTTCATTGCTTCCTTGATTCTTAGCCAAAAGCTTTGTCTTTGCAATCTTCTTTACAATGGTTGCTTCAGCGAGTCCTTCAAAGTAGGTCACTATGTTTTCTGTCTAGGAAGGGGGGACCCTTTCTGAGGCCCAGAAAGCCCAATGCCCTGTTCGGTTCTCTTCAGCAGAGCTGAAACCTGACACTCCAATCCTTCTTCAAGACCATGGACTAATACAGCTTTCTGCTTTGCTTATGTATATTTAATTCTTGAACATGTGCACCAGGCTTCTAAATAAAATGTGTAAGGGAGGCATTACAGTGAACTGGGAGGAGGCAGATGTGGGCTTGTTGCGCCCTGGCTTGGACCACGTGCAAGCTGTGTGATGCTAAGCAAGTACTCAACATCTCTGAGCCTCAGTTTGCTCATTTGAAAAATGAGAATCACAGTCTCTTTTACAACATGGTGGGGTTTACTCAGTGTACCTAAGCTGCCAAGTATAGTGACAGTGACAGTTATTTTAACACATTTATAAATTACTTCTTTGAGTTTTTCCTGAATCTTCCTAATTATCTCTCATTTGTTTCCAATTTAAATCCAAAGTCTCCAAATGTGGTTTTTGATGGGAAACCTGAATTTAAACTGTAGAGGCAATATTTGACTTTAACTAACTTTAATAACTTCATTTTTAGAATCATGTAAACCATGCAAATGCTGAGGACAGGTGAATTGGAGGACGGTATGTTGTTAGCCATCAAGATATTAAGTCTACAGCTAAGATCAGCGATGATGAGAAACCTCCCCAAAACACTTCAAAATATAAACTGTTACTTCCATAAACTTACCTGTTCTATTATAATCAGCATTCTAAACTTGTTCTTTCAGCTGTCTTTCCATGTTTCCAAAGGACTGATTTCCGTCCTTGCTACATCAGATTCTGTGTGTCTGGATAAGACAGAAAGAGGGTTGTCTCAATATCTGTTTTCCAAAGTGTTGCCCTGTAACTCAGGAGATATGATTGGATTTTTCTTTTCCTTTATAAACTTTAATTGTGCAAATATGTGTTTAATTTCTACCCTGTGCAAAACACCATGTGCTAACCTAATATGGAATCTATAAAAGTCAGAATGGAGGCCGGGCGCGGTGGCTCAAACCTGTAATCCCAGCACTTTGGGAGGCTGAGGCGGGTGGATCATGAGGTCAAGAGATCGAGACCATCCTGGTCAACATGGTGAAACCCTGTCTCTACTAAAAATACAAAAAATTAGCTGGGCATGGTGGCGCATGCCTGTAATCCCAGCTACTCAGGAGGCTGAGGCAGGAGAATTGCCTGAACCCAGGAGGCGGAGGTTGTGGTGAGCCGAGATCGCGCCATTGCACTCCAGCCTGGGTAGCAAGAGCGAAACGCCGTCTCAAAAAAAAAAAAAAAAAAAAAAAAAGTCAGAATGGGCTTGCTCATGGTTCTGTCTTCCTTGGGTATCACTACCCAGGCGGGAGTGTAATGGCGTGATCTCAGCTCACTGCAACCTCTGCCTCCCAAGTAGGGTAGTGATTCTCCCTCCTCAACCTTCCTAGTAGCTGGGATTACAGGGGCCCACCACCATGCCCAGCTAATTTTTGTATTTGTAGCAGAGACGGGGTTTCACCATATTGGCCAGGCTGGTGTCAAACTCCTGACCTTATGACCCGCCCACTTCGGCCTCCCAAAGTGCTGGGATTACAGGCATGAACGACTGTGCCCAGCTCTTTTCTTTTTCTTTTTTTTTTTTTTTGAGCCAAGGTATCACTCTGTTTCCCAGGCTGGAGTGCAGTGGCATGATATTACCTCACTGCAACTTCTATCTCCTGGGCTCAAGTGATCCTTCCACCTCAGCCTCCCAAGTACCTGGGACTACAGGTGTGCACCAACATGCCCAGCTAATTTTTTCTTCTTCTTCTTCTTTTTTTTTTTTTTTTTTTGGTAGAGACAGGGTTTTGCCATATTGCCCAGGCTGGCCTCAAAATCCTGGGCTCAAGTGATCCACCACCTTGGCCTCCCAAAGTGCTGGAATCATAGGCATGAGCCACAACATCTGGTCAACTATCATCTTCTAAGTAATGACTTTGTGAAGCATAGAAGAGCAACACCTGAAAGTCACACCTCATCCACCCTATGGAGAACAAAAGGTTATTGTACGCTCACTTTGTTCCAAGCTCTGTGCAAAATGCTGGAGGTTTCATTTCTGCTCTAAAGGTGGTCATAGTCTGTCATTTAAAGTTGAAATTCTGTTCTCCAGCCTAGCCATCTATTTTCAGCTAAACTTGACTTGAAAGAACAATCCGTTTGTTTCAGAAATGAAATCTGCACCTAAAAACATAAAAACATTACCAGCAGTGAATTTATACCAAGGAGTATGTGTTGCAGGCCAAGTAGGCCATTTAAAATGTTTTGCCAAATGCTTTTGAGAACTCAAAAAAGTCCCGAGATTACCCCACTCGCCTCACGTCACCATCTCCAAATGGGAATGACACTTGTTTGGATATCTGAGATCTGCAGGTCAAAAAACACAAACCTAACAACCAACCTCCCTCAGCCCCATTCCTGATCCTCACATCACTCGAAGGACAAGTGTCCACTGTCCTCACTGTGTTGGGGCTCTCTGAGGAAACCTCATACAGCTGATCCCCAGCCAGGGCCCGGGGCATTTCATCCGACTTTGTAAAAGTGCATCACAACTGCGGTTCATGAGGAGGGCTGGAAAACTTGGCAGGGAGAAAGATGTTAACATTTTGATTATTTCAGTTCTAGGATATTTGTTAATGTTCAGTGCCCATAACTGAGTAAATTTATGTCATCTTAGAGGCAATGTATGATCTGTTTAGGGCAAGAATGTGGCAGCTAGAAACTTTAGCGTTCAGAGTCCTGATATTGGATGATTCGGAAGTAATGTTTGTTCATATGTAGAAAAATTGTTCGTTTTAGGGCCAGAACATTTACTTCTAATATTTGAGGCATGGCCATCAATGGGAAAGCCAAAACTGAACAGGTGTTGACCTAAAAATGAAGTTGAGTGGATCAGTCATGGTGGCTCACGCCTGTAATCCCAGCACTTTGGGAGGCTGAGGCGGATGGATCACCTGAGGTCAGGAGTTCAAGAACAGCCTGTTCGACATGGTGAAACCCTGTCTCTACTAAAAATACAAACATTAGCCAGTGTGATGGCAAATGCCTATAATCCCTCCTACTTGGGAGGCTGAGGCAGTAGAATCACTTGAACCCAGGAGGCGGAGGTTGCAGTTAGCTGAGATCACACCATTGCACTCCAGCCCGGGCAACAAGAGCGAAGCTCTGTCTCAAAAACAAAAGAGAGAGAGGAAGAGAGCATAAGAGGTTGTGTTGAAGGGAAGAGAAGCACAGTGGCTCCTGATGGGTCTGAGACCTGCTTTCTCACCTGGGGCGGGCAGGTGATCAGAGGGCCCCTCAGCAGTGCTGCCAGCTGAGCCGAAGCCCGCTGCTCATGTGTTGGTGTGTCTGCCTCAGCTTCTCTGGGCTTTCCATCTCTTAAGGGCTATTCGTTTCCTCTCATCTAACCCAGCCACTCCATGCCTCTTCATGGTTGGGGTGCAAGGAAATGGCTGTCTTTCTGAATCTGATGCTTCCTTTAAGTGCTGTTATCGAGTGTCAGGCAGCATGCTGGGCTCTTGGCTTAACATTTTTGTTTGCTTGTTTTGTTTTTTGAGACTCAGGCTGGAGTTCAGTGGTATGATCTCACCTCACTGCGATCTCTGCCCCCCAGCTTCAAGTGGTTCTTGTGCCTCAGTCTCCCAAGTAGCTGAGACTAAGGTGCGCACCACCATGCCTGGCTAATTTTTGTATTTTTAGTAGAGACAAGGTTTTGGCATGTTGGTCAGGCTGATCTCGAACTCCTGACCTGAGGTGATCTGCCCGCCTTGGCCTCCCAAAGTGCTGGGATTACAGGCGTGAGGCACCACACCTGGCCTCTTGGATTACCTTTTTACCAGTCCTGCAATATTGCAGTAGCTGAGGCTATGGGCATTGGAACCAAACAAATCTCCATAAAGACCCTTGGTCACCTCTTACTACGTGTGTAACCTTGGACAACTTACTTAACCTCTCTGGGTTTCCGTCTTTTCGAGTAAGATAATAGTGGTATGAATATTCTATCTTGTAAAGTTTTGGGGTTTTTTTTTTTTTTTTTGAGACGGAGTTTCGCTCTTGTTACCCAGGCTGGAGTGCAATGGCACGATCTTGGCTCACTGCAACCTCTGCCTCCTGGGTTCAAGCAATTCTCCTGCCTCAACCTCCCGAGTAGCTGGGACTACAGGCGTGCGCCACCGTGCTCAGCTAATTTTTTATATGTTTAGTAGAGACAGGGTTTCACCATATTGACCAGGATGGTCTCGATCTCTTGACCTCGTGATCCACTCGCTTCGGCCTCCCAAAGTGCTGGGATTATAGGTGTGAGCCACCATGCCCGGCCTCTTGTAAAGTTTTATGAGATTAAAAGCAAAGTGTGTAAAAGGCACTGAA